TTTAATTTTTTTTTATAAGCGTTTATAATTCAAATTTTTACGAAATCTGTCGAAAATGCGAAAATTTGCAAGTAATTTTAAAGTTGAAAAATCATAAAAATTTTTGTGTTTATAACTAAGGATTAAAAATACAACACTAAGTTTTCCTTTAAGTAGCTATAGAGAAARCTTGAAGCATCATTATAGGAAAAATTTTAAGTGCGTTTGAATTTTAAATTTTAAATTTTTACGAAATAGCGTTACGATAACGATTTATCCTCAAACAATTTTAAACATTTGTTATTATTTAAAAAGTATAAGTTGCAGATACTTGAAAATTTCACCAGTTTTTTAGATTGGCATTTTCTTTACATGATTCAATTTTCAAAATATTTTGACTTTTTTTGAGGTATTTATAGACAACTGAAATTTTTTTTTTGAAGTGTCGATAAAATTTTTTGGCCCTATCAAAATACTTTTAAATATTAATAGAAAATTTCTCATAAGTTATTTTCTTATAGTTATTAAAAAATTATAAGAATACATATGCACAATTTTTTTTAATTAGCATTTGAAGTCCAAATATTAACAAAATTCATAAAATTGTTTGTATTTATATCTAAGGTTAAAAAATTCAACACTAAGTTTTACATGAGTTTTGCTTCAAATAGTTATAGAGAAAATTTGAAGCGTCATTATAGGAAAAATGTTTTGAGCGTTTGAGTTTTAAATTTTTATGAAATCGCGTAACGATAACGATTTATCCTCGAACCAGATACTTATATGTATATCTATGATAATATAAGGTATTATTAATTATGATAACTACATGCAATGTTTTTGGAAAAATAGATTAACCATGCCTTATGCAAAATGTTTCCTAATGGAAAATAATTTATTTGTTTCAAAATAGAACATATGACAATATGACAATATTTAAATATAATATATCCTAGACTGACAAATCATCTCCGTTCAGAATAGTTTTTCGTATACAATAATACCTATCATTGCATTCAAATATAACCTACCCTAATCAGAGGTCCACCCAACCACCTAATGTACAGCGCAGCGATACCCACTTACCCGCTTTTTTTTATTGAAATAACTATAAAAAAAAATCTTTGTTGCCCAAAAAATCCTTAAAATGTYCAAATTGGTATTGAGGAAAATTGGTATGCTAGTTGGGCCGGGATTTTTACAGGTATGACACTAGTTGGGTCTGGGTTTTCATAGACACAATACTAATTTGGTCTTTATTTAGGTAATTTATTTTATTTTATTACTAGATAATATGAATTTTTTTCCCATTTTAACAGATTTAGGACTGTTTTTTAAACATGTAATATGCAATCTTTACAATTTAGGCACAATAAGCATAATATGCGAGAAAAGTAACACAAAAAAAAAAAAACAGGCGATAAAGATGTGATTAAAGAAGCCACTCATTAATGACACTTAAGCTGTTGTTGCTTATATTAGCGTATAAAATTAGAAATTCAACAAAAATTTGTCGGTTAGAAATTCACCAATAAATTTCTTTTTATATCTAAGATTTAAAAATTTAGCACGAAGTTCATCATATTACTTTATTAATAGCAATTTAAAAATATTAAAAATACATAAGTACAATTTCTTTGTATTTAAAGTGCAAATTTTGACAAAATCACATAAAATTATTAAATATTTTGTAGTTAGAAAATGATAACATTTAAAACAATACTTCTCATAAGAAGCTCCTAAAATCTTAAATCTTAAATCTTAAATCTTAAATCCTAACCTAAAATCTTAGTAAAAAATATTCAGTTTTTTTATAGATACTTTAAATTCAAATTTATACAAATTTCGATGCATATACGAGGAAAAACAATTTAATTTTCTTGTTGTAATTTAAACCATAAACCGAAAAATTTCATTTTTTTTTACTTGATTGATAAATTTTAAATTCAACTGAAAAAAGCTTAGTTATAAATTGTCAGCTAAACTAGTCAAATTTATAATTAGAAAATTAAGACTTAACTCTAAGTTGTTAACTAGTTAATGTACACCTTTGCAAATAACATTAGTATGATTAATAATAACTAACTGTTAAATAAATTACTTTAATAGAAATAATATCTTAAAATATACTTAGTTATGTAGGCCGATAAACCTTCATCACTCAGAATCGTATTTTATATGCAATAATTTTATATCATTGAATTCTAAATTATTGTACAACAATGCGGTCTCCAGTTTCTCGTATTTTTTTATTTCACATGCTTAAAATATGATCATGAAAAATACATATTTTATACCTCTAAACGAAAGTAGTTAAAAAAGCTAGATACTACATTATTACCCTATATTACTTTCAGAATATAAATTTTATAAAATCAGTAGGTCTGATGATTTTGTATTCAATAAAAACGTAGCTAAGTTTATTTTAAAGTAAGATTAACAAAAATGATTTAGATTAGTGCATTCATTAAAAAAATTAACTTCATTCAATTTCTTAATAAACTATAATAAGTTCTTTTTTAAACATTATTTATCTTTATAATAATTTATAAAATATTGGTACCCTAGATGATTGTATATTTAATTATATATATATATATATTTTTTTTTGAATATTTTACTTTTTATATTGAATATTATGATGTTAATTAATGCTAGCACTACTTATATTATGTTAGTCATTAGGTACCTATTATTTATTGGTTAGTATATTTAGTCAATCAAGCCATAAGCTATGGTTCACAGCCGAAAAATCTACTAACATAAGAGGATGTAGTTATTGTTCAAAATATTGTTGATGCATGTTCATTTTAATGAATTTATTCAGAAAATTTAGTTGTATGCTAAATTTAATTGCGTCTTTGTACATGATAAGTGCATAATATGTTAATCGGCTAGGTATTCTCTCTATTTTTGTTATTGTACATTTCTTACATCGAAATGCAGTTCTGTTCTAAGTGTATTATTATAAAAGTCAYTAGGTTATAAGTTATAAGATATTTGACTCAATCTATTTAAATAGATCTTACCTAATACAACATTTATTGTTGACAATAAATCATGACACTTTTTTCTAAATAATTTGGTATTTCTATAAAAACATGTTTTTAAAGATAAACTTTTTTTACTAAATATCAGTTGATTATGATTTTACTATTGTTTTTGGGAGCACTATTATTTGCTATTATCGTATTATCGTCACGCTCGAAATTTATAATACGGAATTATTAGTACGCAATTAAATACCTTGGTAGCTATATACTTATTAATAAGATTGGTCCATCAATGTTTCTCACTTCATGTTTTGAAATTGTAAAGACTTTTAAGACAATCTAAAATACTTTTTGCAATTGATTTTTTTAATGAACTATGTTGATTATTAAAAATAAATTAAGGAAGTATTTAGTAGATTAATATACTAGTTATTCATTTGTAGTTCAAATTATAATTTTATTTATGTGTCAGAACTTTCAGAACCGTAAAAGAATTTCAAGAATTCTAACATTTCCAACGAGTATGTTTTCCCAATATTATTGTTGTCGACAATAGCTTTTTGGTTCAACAATACAATGTTACGTAAATGTTATGGCACGACGAAAAAAAATGAGATTATATACCAGCATTGGAATAATTATTAATTTGTTTTTACTATTACCTATAGCTCACATTATTTTTTCTCTTTRTTCTACTTGATTAATATTCATTAAATATGTTTTCATTCATACGTTTAGTTAGAAGATTTTTGATGTACAAGAAACTAAGCCAAATTAATCGATTTATAGACTAGTTTAATTTTTTTAGTTTGGACAGTTATTTATGTTATAATTAAATTGTAATCAAAATCATTGTAACAGTAATTTTGTTTTTAGGATATTTAAATTATAAGAACATCAGACCAAAAATGGTAAAATATAGACATAAACCACGAATCCATCAAATTAGTTATATTTATTACTTTGCTTATTATTACGGCTTCACTCGTCAATCCCTTTATTCGAATTTTTTTTTACGAGCTAAGAGTTTGATCTTGCTCATCCATAGCCATAATATATTAATTTGATTAAATTTGTATGTATTGTGTTTCAGCTCTGTGTAGGATTAATTTTCATTTGACCAACATTTTTCATGGATGAAATACCACTACCCAAGTTTGAGGTGAGTATTAAAATAAATAATTGTAAATTAATGGTTATTGGTTTTAATGGTATTTGATTATCTATCCATACTTAAAAATTTACAAAATGACTGTAATATATGATCTTATGATAATATTATTTGACAATTTTTTTTTATAAAATAAACTATAAAGAGATATATATGACTATGTACCTATAGTGAATTTTGTGAAATTTCCTCATTTAAATATTTTAATGATAAAAATAATTACAATAACGACTATACTCAATAAATATTATTACATTATTTTAATTTTCAAAAGAAATTTTGTAATTTCTATCTGTAAAAAACATTCAACTATGCGAAATATATTTAATATCCATTTTTGGTTGTTGCTCGATGGTTTTCTACAATGATATTTTTCAAATAACATACTGCAAAACACAAATATAAAGGTATGTCACATAAAGTATTTAAATTTTTCTTAAAATTATAATATCTTATATAGGTACCTATAATATTAAATAGATAACAAATTATTGTAATTGTTTTGCGGTTGTCGAAATCTATCTGGCGATCCGATGCGAGTGCGACCGAATTAGATGTGTTCACGTCCACAATTTCATGTTCGCAGTAGCGTCAAACTGTATATCAGTTGAACGTCACCTGCAGTCGTTGATTAGCATTGTACAACACACGGTCATAATAAATATATAATTGTTTACAGGTATCACGGAATCAAAAAATGATGCAAATTTCCATTAACATTAATTTAAGACTTACTGCCATCAAGTGTGAACGACGTGCTTGCACAAGTATTCAATATTCTTAGACAGCATTAAATATCGATTAAAAACGCTGAATGGTCATATCAACCACCTCCGCATTTTCGGTTCATATGGTTTTTGGCGCTGAAAAGGTATTTATAGTTATATAATATCGTATAATATATTATACTTTGTAAAGGAAAAATTACACACGTCTGTAGTTTGTTAACATATCGTATTTTTATCAATTATTATTCGCAATTTTTGTAAGTGCTTATGATCAAAATTCGTTAGGTAGATGCCTATTATTACATATCCTAGATTATGGTCATATTACGCACATAATGTTCATCTAAATAGCTTAAATTAATTATTACCGTATAAGGAATGATTTAGTATAATTCTTTGTATTTGTATTTTTTTTTTTTTTTAATTAATTTATTATAATAAATTATACATAGCTCAAAAGAGCAAATTTACAATAATATAATAAGATGAATCTATCGACCACCTGTAAGCAAGCTTGTTATGATGGTAGAGAGTTACAAAATCTAGTAATTAATATAATAATTGATAAAAATATAAATAAATTATAATATAATATACATAAAACACTAGTCTAAATGAGTTTCTAACCAGTTGAAAATAAAATTAAAAATATCAGAAATTAAGAATATATAAATTATAAATACATTTAAATAATTATTAAATATTATTATTAAATACATTTTTAAATTGAAAATTGTAGTATAATATATATGAGCTGCGTTTATCATCTATTGTATAAAATATGTTTAATAATGATTAATGAAGCAAAAACTAAAAGGATCTATGTTAGGTATTACTGCTATTAGATAAATATCATTATTAATATGAATGTTTAACTTGCTATAATATTCACTACTTACCWATAAATTGACTCTGATGTACGTATTCTTGATATTACATAAAAACATCATTATCTTCTCACGTGGCAAATAAATCACAAAACGTGACTAGATTTAATTATTTATTATTCCTTGGCTGCGTTAAATACAGGAGTAGATCCTGAAGGGACAATTGAAAAACATAGTTTTATATGGTGCATACGTCTAAAGCAAATACTTTAAACCAACGGTTCCCAAACTGTGCGCCGTAGTGTCTTAACAGGGGCGCCGCGCTRCCGTAGAATGTTGTCATTCATCCCATTAATTTAATATATACAAATAAATATATACCTAAATCATATAACTAATGTATTATAACATATGTATAATTACAATTAAATAAATATTTTGTCTCTCTTATTTCAAAACAAGGCGCCGTGAGACAAAAAGTTTGGGAACCACTGCTTTAAACGATAATAATCGAGACTAACACTGTGCTAAAAGGGTGGCGAGTATATTATTGTTATCATACAAGTTGCATAATTTTGGGTAGTTAACGATTAACCTAAATGCTCTCATTTGTAATTTTATATCAACCCCTTTCTAAATTATCACCTACCACCTTTCACATATAATCTCTGAATTGATTTTCTTTAATTTAAATATATGTATACATGTTTATACCGAAAACATTAAAATTAAACCATACTCAACCGGATGAATAATGTGTAAGTGTTCATTAGGTCATACTAGCCTAGTATTACTAGGAGAACTCACGAATTCACAATGAAAGGAATAAAAAGACGTGAGTCCAAATTATCTTGTAGATAACACATCATTATCCTGCATTACTTAACATACTGCAGAGCGTATCAAACCAAGAATATAATTTAATATATTTCTAATCCTTCCTAAGTTACAATAAAATATGTTATGGGTAATCACCTAAGTCATCCCACCACCTCAAATTCACCACTGTATGGTTTTCTAGTCACAAGTAAAAACACTTTACTTGGCTAAAAAAAATTCACAATTGGTAAATTATAAATTCAGTTGTCTAAATACAGTTGGCTAAACCGTACTCAAATACATTTTAAGGGGAATATGTTTAATTTGTTTAAATAAATAATGATTTTTTTTTTTATTGATCTAGAAATTTATATAAATAAATTTCCACTTCGACAACACAGGCCACTAGCGTAACATTTTTAGTTAAATAGAATTATATAATAATAAATATGTTATATATCTTAAATAATTTTACAGTATTTTAATTGTTACTTACAGAACGTTTATTATTTTTATTATTTTGAAAAATTCTATTGTGTTGAATTCATTTTCAAAAATAACGATTTATTAGTTTACCTAATCAGAAAAATGTTCAAGGGATAGCGGGTCGAACCTAATTATTTTAACCATTAATCATGATTCTGTGATTAATACACCTTAGTAAAAATACATATTTAATGCAGAACGAAAAAGTTCTAAGTGAAAAAAAATATACATAAATCAAAAAGATTCCGATTAAAGGATTTTTTAGTTTCTTACTGGAAGATTTTCTAATTTTTGTTACTTGAAAGTTATGCCCAAAACAAAAAATATATTGTTAGATTTAACATAATATAACAACATTGTTAATTATTTTTTAATGTGAAAATCGTTTTAAATCATTCATTACGAAAACATTAAGTGTGAAATAGTTTTAAATGGTTCTCTTGAGCCATTTGATATTTTGAGATAGTACCTTTTGATTCTCAAAAATCGTAAATGTTTGAAAATTATTTTGAGTTAAAAATTAATAATATATATTATTTTTTGTATTTATGTCTATGATTTTAAAATGTAATACAAAATTTCTCATATTCATCTATCTTAAAAAAAAAAAAAAAATGTTTACTAGTAAGTCCTGCAGTAATAACAAATTAAAATGTAATTCTTTTGGAAAAAATGTATTCAACCTACTATATTTACCAAGTTAAATAAATTACTTTAATAGAAATACGAGTGCATAAAATATAATTAGTTAATATAGGCTGACACTCAGAATCGTTATCGTATACTCGTATACAATGATTTTATATCATTGAATTTAATTTCACTTTCATTACAGGAACACTTCTATAATTAAGAATGTTTTAATTGTCACTGATGTAACTTCACTTGACCATTGATGACGCGTACAGTTTTTGGGAAGCGATAACAGAAAAGTGAGCTAGTGATGGGAGTGTAGCCAAATTGCCTATCCAAGACCCCGTGTTACCGTTTTTCAAATTATTAAAATATTTAAAATACACGGAGAACATGATAGTAAAATTATAATTGCTTGGTGAGGCGCGGTCGTGCGCTTAATCTGCAGAAACGCACTGAGTGTACGTACCAGCCGTAATTGCTAGCTTTCGGATGGGTGACCATCCGTGATTTAAAGCAACATATCCTTACCACACATACACAAATACATGTTACACCCCTACCAACTTAAAAACCTACATACAAATAAATAAAAAATCACCCCTACCGTATCACCCCACATAAAATGATCTATGAGCACGTGGATTCCTCCTACAAGGAAAAAAAGATAAAAATAATTATAATTATAATTGTCATAAAATAATTATTATGAAAATCTAGATATGAACACATTACATAACATGATACTGTAATAAGAATAAAATATATAAAAATAATGTATAATATGCAATAATATTCTATAATATCCTAAATATTGCATATTTTGAGTAATGAAACATTTTATTTATTTTAAACAGCTACTTATTTATCTTACATCTTAATAAGTACCCATATTAAAATTTAAGTCACCGTCTGTATAACATATCTGTTTTATTCAAGTAAACTATTAGAATAAGTATGAATGTTTCGGGTGGACTTGAATAATTATTTACACAAATTTTGTTTAGTTATTTTCTTCTTTTTATGTTTTATAGTCTTTAAACGACGGGTAATCATCTGAAAGTTAGAGATCAACTACAGACAACATTATGATGGGCTGTGTAGACCATCTTTTAAAAATTGAATTCGACGAACTCGACTTGATGCGGGTTATTGCTGACAATTCAGCTGATGTTGAAAACACAGTGCAAAAGTATTCTTCCTTCCTGGAGAATACCGTCAATGAACTTATATATAACAATTATGCACACCTTGGAGCTCCGAATGATGTGATCGACAAAATGTTTGACATGATATGCAAAGCGTGGACTSTTCCCGATTGCAAACTTGCTTATGCGTTGTGTAACACGTTACGGAAGTCCGGTGGACTGGATTTGTTGATAAACAACTGTGTATCCAGAGACAAAAAACTACAGTTCTCTAGCGCCAGACTTTTAGAGCAATGCCTAACGACAGAAAATCGTGAATATGTATTGGAAAAGGGGGTAGAGAAGGTGGTGCACGTAGTGTGTGAGTACAAGACTCAAATCAGCTCGGTGGATAAACTGAATGTCAGCACCGGTGAGATATATTTTTTTTTAATACTTACTTAAAACATTTTTTTAGCCAATTCGTTTTATTTTTTTTTATTAAAATGAATTATTGTATCAAATGCCACCACACAAGATGAAGCTGAACGTTTGMAAATCAAAATATGTGTAAAACGTTTCGATTAAAAGATGACAATTTTTATTGAAGTTTATCGATTAAACATGAACATGTATTATAATGTGCTCGATAATAATATATGTAACGATTGTAACGTGAGAAAATTAGTATACTATACTGTTATAATGTTAACGAATTTTATCTCTTTTCCTATGCTAATTCAACTACATTTTTTCTTTTTTCTTTTTTTAGGACTCCTTGAAAACTTATTTAAACACAGTGAAATCATGTGTAGCGATGTAATAAAACTCGGTGGTTTGGACGTATTGCTCAACAAATGTCGAAATCAAGACACCGAAACCTTGAAACATTGCACCAGTGCTCTGGCAAATTTATCGCTGTATGGAGGACCAGAAAGCCAAGATAAAATGATAAAGCGTAAAGTACCCACTTGGTTGTTCACGTTGGCGTTTAATACAGATATCAACATCAAGTATTACGCTTTCTTGGCAATAGTCGTTTTAGTCACTAATAAAGAAGACGAGGTAGCCGCGATAAAATCCAGATCTTTAGATATGAATAATCCGTTAGTCGTCACGCCAACGGAATTCGACAAATCCAACATGGCTTCACATTCTCGTGGTCAAAGTCAAAAATGGCTGAAGAGACTTGTGCCGGTTTTGAGTTCCACCCAAGAAGAAACGTGCAACTTGGCTGCTTTTCATTTTTGCATGGAAGCCGGGATCAAGAAACAATTAGGTATGACCAGCATATTCAGAGCGATCAACGTGATTGAACCCCTGAAAAAAATGACCAGTTGTGAAAACATCATAGCTTCAAAATTAGCAGCCAAAACGTTAAAGTTGATTGGCGAAGAAGTACCACACCAACACAATCGAGAAGATGAAGTTCCCCAGTGGTCAGTAGATGATGTACACAAATGGGTCAAACGAAGCGATTTTAGCGAGTATGCTGAAATTTTTTCGGAAAATCTAGTTGATGGTCATATTTTGTTGCACCTTACCGAAGACAACTTGAAATATGACATCGGTATGCGAAATGGAATTACGAGAAAAAGGTTGGTAGTGAGTGTGAGTGGAACCCGTTTCAGCAAGAAATAACCTTCCCCGTTTYGTATAATTTGAGTTAATTTGTTTCTCTCGCATGAACTCTTTAAGTACCTATAATAGAATTTGAAATRTTTTCAGTATTATAAAAGGTTCAATAATATGGTACAAGTAACAATACATCATTTATTATAAAATTTAAGATCTTGATCGGAGTGATAATTATTGTATATTGGTTTTAAAAATTATATCTGTACTTTTTATCTGTCTGGAATCACCTCAAAATTATAAAAACTGTAAAATATTTTAAAGGATATTTCTCATAWCAAATAAGAAAAAACTGACAAATTAATACGAATGCTATTGAATCATTGCATATAATAAGTTTTGCTAAGTTATTGCTTCTTTAATTATCAGATAGTAAGCAAATATCAAATTTATTTTAGATATTAAGTTAATTATATTAAATTATATTCTATAAATATCAATAAAATTGTATTCTTTGGGTCAAAAAGTTGAAAATTGAATACTAGGTTCCTCATACATTTGTTAAATAGCAGTTGAAAAATATTAAAAATATATAGACAATTTTTTATAGCCATCTAAGTTCAAATTTTTACAAAATTTACAAAATATTTAGTTGTCAAAAATTTACAAAACGTTTGACTTTTATACCTGAGGATTGAAATATTTAAATGAGGTTTCACATAAATACTTAATTGTATAACAAAAAACATCTAAAAACTATACAAACACAGTTTTTTAAAGTTATTTTAAGTTTATATTTGTACGAAACTAAGTATCAAATATGAAATAACCAAAAATAACAATTTTAGTTATAGCATTTTAATTTAAAAATATTATTCGGATACTTGAAATTTCTAGAATATACTTTATTATCTAATTGTAAAAGTAAATGTCGTTAATGATTTATACTTTATAGTATATTGTTTATACAATAAATGACTGAGTGAGTCAGGTACATAAATTAATCTAATTTGATTAATTTGGAATTTATTTCATAGGTACCTAAATTTTTATTTTTTAAATAATAATAATATAATCATAATATTATAGTAAAACATATCATAGATAGAAAAACTGTCTCTGTTGAAAATTGTTTTTGTATACAATAATGATATTATATATTATTTTCCATTGAATTCAAATATAGACATTTAGTACTATCTATTACAATAAGCCACTCGTAATCTACTGCACAGCAGAGTTACATCCACTTACCTGCTTTGTGTTATTGAAAATTAATTGCTTTCGGTATGTATAGCTTGATTAAAATCTGAAACAGAACATTCTTCATCAAATATTCAGTTGGCCGCACATCGTGGATTGCATTTTAACTGATGACATGTCTTTTTAACATTTGTTTTACATTTCTGATTTGTTCAGAATATTATAATCTACCTAAAATTCACTAAATTTCATTTTTATTTGGTCTTCGTCTCAACCACAGAGTTTAGTATTTGACACAATATCTACCTTAAAAATGTATGTTACATTGTTTATTGTTCTAGATTTCTAAGAGAACTAGACAATTTAAAACAATCAGCCGACTACAGTAGTAAAGACTCGACCGGTTTGCAATCGTTCCTCAGGTCGATCAGCTCAAATTACGTTGTATACACGTATCCCATGTTGAATGCAGGAGTAAACATGAATACGATCAGGTCGGACGATTYCCAATTGCTAAATATTATACCTACCATATCTGTGCACAGTGCACAGTACTAATTCGTTAATACTTTTAATATTTTGAATTCGCAAGTGATCTTCACGCATGTTTTTTTTTTGGTTATTTAGGAGCTTAACAGCAGATCGGCTCGTATACGATTGCAAAATCACAAACAGCATACATCAGACTTTTATATTAAATGCTATTAAAGGTAAGTAATTCTATTAAGTAAAAAAAAATATATACCTATAGTTACCTGTCAATCAGTGTAAATTATTTTGTAAATCATACAGCGATGAATTTGATGGAATCGTCATTGGAAAAAAAAAATACGGATGTATTTATCAGTTATAGACGATCGAATGGATCTGAATTGGCTAGGTAAGCGAATCGTATTTTACATATCGATACATTGAAACTGATTGAGTATATAACAATATAACGATTAAATAATATGTTAATATATAAGCAATGATAACACTTTTTGAGACAGTAATAGAAATAATAATAATAATACATTTTTTTATATTTTTTTAAAAGAATATTTACCATCTGTGTTAAAATACAATAATATAAGCAAATATGATAACTTRTGTACATTTTAACTGTGAATAATATGAGAAACCAATGATGAAACGAACCTAACGTGATATATTTGAGGTTAATAAATTTCTACAATATTTTCTCTTGAGTTGATAGGTGAGATTTATGGGTTGTGTATTAGATGAGACTTGCGATACTAACGGTTAAATATGGAATTGTAGTTTGAGGTAAAAATATCTATAATGTTTGGTAACTATAAATATTGGTCAAATGATTCGAATTTGATGTCAAAGTATACTATGGAATTAGATACAAACCAATATGTGGAGAGTGGTCGACTAGAACTTTGTATGGTGCAAATTTGGAACGTCTTAGCTTAGACTCAAATAATACTTAATAATTATATTATAATGTAAGTAATAATAAAAACTAGCGTTTTACGTGTTTGCAGTTTTATCAAAGTTTGCCTAGAAATTCGAAAGTTTCGAGTGTTCATCGATGTGGTAAAATTAGAAAACGGACATTTTGGCCATAACTTAGTAAAACATTTAAAACATTCGAAACACTTCGTTGTTGTGTTAACCCAAAATTCATTGGATCGGTGTGTCGGTGACGACGAATGCAATGACTGGGTTCACAAGGTAATGGAACACCTCACGGCGTCACACAACTGCATCATAAGATATTATATAACGACGAATCTATAATACCATAATATATTACTTATTGGATTTGTAGGAAATCGTGACAGCGATGCAAAACCAGTTGAACATAATTCCTATCATAGTGGAAGATTTCACTTGGCCAGAATCGCTTCCAGAGGACATCCGTAAATTGCAGACGTACGACGTAATAGAGTGGTCGCACACCAAYCAGGATAAGTTCATTGATGCCATCGTGACGGCTATGCGTGGAGACTCGAATGTCATCCAAGAGGTGACCAACGATGGTATTTCGTCAGACCTGTCAACAGTGGTTGGGGATTCACCTCTCGTTGTCGTGTAGTTTTACGGCCCCGAATATTACGGACCTATTCTGWTTTYTGGTTATCCTCTGCAGGTGACCGCCCACCGCCACCTGTTACGTAACTGACTCTGGGAAATTGATATAAATTTCAAATGGCTGAAGATATTAATAAATATGTACCTACACTATTAAAAACATATAATATAGTGTAATAACTATTATTACAGAGTACSTACATACATTATATCAAATTTTGTTCCATTATATTCACAAAATTAAATTTCAAATACATTTTTTTTTTAATTCTGAGCGCATTGATGAATTTTTTTGTTTTAACTATCATATGTGCTTTTTATTTTTGTCTGTCATCGACTTTAGATACAGTAAAATAATCCAATTTTCGATTTTTTTCTGGTTTTTCAATCTAGATTCTAGTTGAAGCATTAAAAAGGCTATCTACTCAGTGGTTCCCAACCTTTTTTTATTCTACACCCATCTTGTACATTTTTTCAAAAATGTACACCCTCCCTTTAAATTAGAATGAAGACTGCCATTTTGTTTTGTTTAAATGTTACAAAATAACTAAATATATTATACAAGTATACAACTAATGACTTATTTCTTTTTTACATCATATTAAAAATAAAATATAAATCAATTTAATAATATTATTTTTTTTCATTTTTGAATACAATTTTTATATTAAATGACAAATGTTATAAATAAAATTAGTTTATTATTTCTCGATTTTACAAATCGTAAAATGGYATAATTATTCCAACAACTAAATTTTCGTTGTTTTATCAATCCCCATCGCTATATTCCTCACGTGCAGTATCTAAATTCCCCCATAAGGAATTCCTCCCTCTCCCCCTCGAGACCCACTACTCTAAATAGATCTTATAGTGTTCTAAATTCTCAATATTTTTTAAAGCGTCGGTAAAAACCAAAAAAACATTATTGAAAAATGTATAACAAAACACCCTCGAATTTTTATATTTATAAAACGAGTAAAATAGATCCATTTTTCTGCTATACATAGAGTTACATAATATGATTCTGCATTAACAAGCATAAATKAAGTAGGTATATAGTACTTTTTTAGAAACTTTTCGTTAGTTTTTAAGCTGTTTGCTAATAGAAGACAGTTTTTTCGTAAATATATTAAGCATTATTTTAACCACAATATTAATGTGAATCGAACTAAAACATATGGTTGCCAACCGAACTTTTTAATCATTTGTCCAAGATTGCAAGGCAAATTAATGAAAATAATGAAGTATGACAAGTTAAGTTAATTTAATTAAATTATCTTCAGATAACATTTTATAAGTAAAAGAGAAATTAAGAAATTATAACTAAGAAACTCCAAATCGGACATACTCGCACTTCTAAGTGAAAAGTCATGCCGAACCTCCATTATGTGATACATGTGAGATGTGGTCTACTATTGACGGTCAACACAATCACAATATTACCAAATGTTGAAAAWTTTTTATATTTTCGAAACCACTTTCACAGCTCTGAATAAATCTGCCAAGTTCTAGGACCGAACCCACAAGATACAAGATAATTTCATTCCTTAAAAAATCTGGATTTTATAGCTGTAACTTAATAAAAAAATTAAATCATACATATATATATTATTGTATAACACTATAATAATGGCCAAGTTGTCTATGCATTTTTAGATCAGTTAGATCAATAAAATAAAATAACTTAACTMAGTTTAAAAAAAAGTTGATTTTACAAGCTACAATACTTTTAGGAAATAAAACCTCTAGTATAATTTATAAAAAATTATTAGAAAATAGATGATTTAAATCAAAAAAGAGTCAACGAATTATTATTGAATGTCGATTCCRCATGATATGAAAAGAAAATTAACTTAACCGCRCGATAATGATAATTAACTAAAAAAAAGTTRCAATATTATCAATTTTAACTGAATACGTTGATACGCTAAAAATAAAAATAATTAACTTGATAAATTTAAAAGTTTAAAAAAATTTTGAACTTAACTTTACCTTTTTGATAAGTTAATGCTCACTTTTGTATTTGTTGTACCGCGTCTGAAMCTAGTCGATTTTGTAAACAACACAAATCCAAAATAATTTTATGTTAGTCAGTTATTTTACTTATATTAGTTAATAAAGTATAAATTCAATAACACAAGAAATAAACACTGTTCGGCAATAATATGGTTTTAAAGTTTAATATTATTTTTCTATTATTAAAATTAAAAAAGTGGGCAAGTGGATACCACTCTGCTGTTTATTACGTGCCCTAGGGGGTTACTTTAATGATTGTATTATATATTTGAATTTATTGATATAAAATTACCGTATACGTAAAGCAATTCTAAGCGAAGACAGTCATCACACTAAATTATCTGAATATATTTTATGATATTATGTCTATTAAAGTAGGTAGTTTGTTTTGTTTAGTAATTATAAGTACAGATTGAATTAATTTTTGCTAAAAGAATTTAATTTTAATTTGTATTTTAACTCAACAAATACAATTTATTGACATTTATATAAAAAAAAGCTAAAAAAAAATTGAAAATTGAAAATTGATATACATATATATTAGATTTATTAGTTACAGTATAAATTACTACTTATATGAGCAGTATAACGAGCCATTAGAAAATTACTGTTCTTACTGAAAATTTATAATGTCTTGTTGATTATAATAATTAAATCATACGTACTTATAACGAATTGTACGATCAATTGAGTTGCACGGATACTTGACACTGTCTAAACGTATCAAAATTTTTGTTTTAGATTCCCTACGCAAAGAAGACAGAAGTATAACTTACTCTCTCGCATCATGCTGTTTCCCATGTATGAACTACCTTCCTTTACTTCCTTCGTCTTCGACCTTAGTCACCCATTTCATTCATTTGTATGTTGTATCTGTATAGTTTTTTGTAATCACTTGCATGTTTTAATGCCGGCGTCGTGCAAGTGCAGATGCCTACACCATCTCAAACCCGGCACGACTATAAAAACATTTTGATTGTCTTCCAACTGAAACATTTCAGGTGCTTTCTATAACAATTATTTGTTTTTAGTACATTATTGAAATCAAATGTCCTTCACAAATTTATTCTTTGTCTCAAGTTCACATACATAAATCTTAAGAAGTGTGGGGTTATATCCTGTATTGTATCAAAAGTGTGTGGTTATAGCTAAAATATCTATAAAAAGTAACTGTGCAATATGTATGTATATTATTTTGATTTATTGGTTGCAGTATGAATTACTTGTGAGTAATATGTCGAATTAGTAGACAATTTCTATTCTTACGTACAATTGAAAATTTCTGTTGGTTATAATACTTTATCAGTGTATTTATTATTATAAAAAGTTCTATTTTAATTGGTTTTAATTTATACTGGATACGACCTAACGAGTGACGGGTGATAGAAGTTCGTAATTTACAATCTTTAATTATAAGTACCTAAATCGTATGTTTATCACATATTATATATCGCCATAACTGCTCTCTTCCAGATACCAACTAATACCTTAAGACAAAAAGTATTGTACTTCTATACTTTAAAGCCCAAATACGAACCACTATATGTAAGCCTAACCAGCCTTGACCTAGGAATTGACTGAACAGGACGTCGATTCCAACGAGATCTACTTGAATGTGCGTGGCGATGAAAGGATCGATCAGATCCAGGGTATGGCACACTTGACCATGGCCACCTCGATATGTGGCCAGTAGTGTGTATTATTTTATTCTGTCATCTGAGTTGAACGCTAACGTAAACACTAAACACTCAAGTGTGAGTAACAATAATTATACAACACAATTACTGTGTTGCAAAATATCGTAGTATTAATTAGTACCTCGAATATGACGCATTCCGCCAAAAGTATGTCTAAGCTGTCCAGTTGGATCACATCCATTCACATACTTCACTGCATTCAAATAATTTTGCGAGTAAGTTTAAAACATAACGTACCAGTTTAATTTAGTCAATTCATATTACTTATGAATTTARTCACATTAATTTTATTTTTCCCCAATATAAAATCCCATGGATTTAAAATATACCTAGATAGGTATTTTGTAATTTAAAAATAAAATAAAATATATTTATATGTAATAGGAAATATCAAATATTCAAATATTATTTACACAATAAAATTGTATATTATGTATTCTAATAATTATGTACCTACTATATAGATTGTACTGCTGTACTACTGTCAAAATGTTTTGCACTAYTTTTGGACTATCTATGAWYAAAATAATATATTTAAATACAGAGGCCAAAATTATTTTGTATCAAAATGTTTTGCTCACATACTGTTGTATTATATTTTTAATTGATGATAGAAATTTAAAAAGTAAAAACAGTAATTATTGAAAACGCGCAAACATAATAAAACCAACGACAAAATTGTTCTACATATTTACATAGTTACGCACATAGGTAGTGTACTGAGTGTCTATGCAGTATAATCTATAATAATAATTAATTATGTATATTTATCGTTATGCTAATAAGACATAACAACACATGCACATAGTTTTGGGTATAGAATAATATTTCCGCAATGTTCTTCAGTTTAATTTATCAAGCGAAATGATTGTAACACATACTATTTCAATACTCCAACACAGTTAATAGTTTCGAGCGTGACATTACTGATTTATTTTTATCATAATTTTGCTTTAATATTTTAGAATTCTTAAATATGGTTATTGTCATAACTATTTCAAGCAATATTAAAAATATTCCGTTTACATTCATATTCATTATATGGATTCTCGTTTATCRCGCTTTAGAGTAGATTCCAAAAATATTAACGATGGTTTCAAACTGGTAACCAATTTGATGTCATTGGTATTTTGTTTAAAAATTGGCTTAATTGGTTAAGGAAAAACAACCAAACAATTTGAAAGAAGTCGCTCTGCATTATAGATTTCAAATGTAGTTCGATGTAATGTAGTAGGGGTCKTTGAATAGTTTGAATTYAATAAAATATTATAGCATGTTAAAAAAGTTTCATGACGCAGAGTTGTGTAAGTCTCTGTTTTTTAAGATATTTTATAATTTATTTCTATTTAGTAATATTAGTAAATTCTATTTTAATTAGGAGTGTTGGCAAAATACGGTATGTTCAACTATTTTTTTTATCGAAAACAGCATAATATATAATATATATCATATGTTAAGT